TTATTCCTACCTCTCTCTCTTTACCTATCCGGCGTAGTACCTCTTCGTTGGTCACTTGCTCAGTCCAGGATATATATGTAATATAAATCGGTAAGCCCACATTTCGAAGAAAAGGTAAATCCGCTCACTAAAGTCCATTCAAGCAATTGGCCAGTAGCATTCTGAACCAGTTTGTAAGTGGCAACAGTGTCTTTGCCTCGGCAGAAAATGATTAAATCATCTACGAAGAGTGCAAACTTGACATTGAGCTCAATTTTTTAAAGATATCCTTTAAAGCAAGTATAAAAAGTATAGAGCTCAATATTAGCTAATTTAATTGTTTATTTAGTTTGCCCATACTTATAAAATCATCTGCTAATTTTTTCTTGTATAAAATCTTATTAGTTCCCGATTTTGTAAATTATGTTATGAAAATAATTTTTAATTTGTGCGTCATCATCAAAAAAGAAAATTAATTTACTTTCTGCGATACCCATTCTATGGATCAATGCTTTCTTCTATTTTTGTAATATAAATTCAATTGTGATCATAAGTGAATAATGGTTAGGAACGTATTATAGAATAGGTTCTGAAACGGTTTTCTTGTCACATATTTACGTTAAATATTATTTTGTACCAACTGGAAAAACAAAGCAAGGAACAGAACAGAATGGCGGAAAATCCTAGAACAAGCCAGGACCCAGAAAGGGTTGTCGAGCTACTGATGATGATGATGATTATTTTGTATAAAATTAAACCACAATTTTACAATGAAATTAAATTGAGAATTTAGATTTTGATCTAATAACTTGATTTTAATTGGTCTAATACCGTTCATATATATTTTTTAAATACCTACAGTAGATAGGCTACCTATATCTGAGACCAACCCCTAAATCGCAACCCCTAAAATCGCAACCCCCGGTTGCAAATGCCAAACGGCTCAACGTAGGATGACGCACGAGGGCTCGTTGGAAAGGGGATGAAAAATAAGGTTGAACTCAGTATGTTCCGTGCGCATAAGAGCATGCCAAAAGGACATTATTGAGTATCTTCGTTTTTATTGGTCCGATTGTGACGTACGAGGGCTCGTTGAAACGGGGAGAAGGGGGAAAATATGATTCCCCCCATGTTGACATGGCTTCCGTGTGTGTTCACGTGACATTTTACGTTCTATGTCGAATGTCACGTCCTGCGTCGACGTTCTCTTGGGCACTGTACGGAAAAGAAGAAGAAGAATGTTTGAGCATTGACATGGCTTCTGTGCAAACAACGCTTTCATTAGACACCTCATACGTCAAAATCAGGCCAATAGCAACGAAGATACTATTAGAGCCCATTTGTCAATGCCGCTATCTTTGTTTTTTGTCTAAACATATTTCCCCCTTCTTCCCGTTCCAACGAGCCCTCGTACGTCACAATCGGAGCGATAGCAACGAAGATACGTTTTAGCGCTCATTTGGCAAGGCCGCCATCTTTGTTTTTTGTCTCAACGTATTTCTCGCCTTCTCCCCGTTCCAACGAGCCCTCGTACGTCACAATCGGACCAATAGAAACGAAGATACTCAATAATGCTCTTTCGACATGCTCCGATGTGCATGGCACATACTGCGTTCAACCCCATTTTTCATCCCCTTTCCAACGAGCCCTCGTACGACACAATCGGACCAATAGAAACGAAGATACTCAATAATGTCCTTTTGGCATGCTCTTATGCGCACGGCACATACTGCGTTCAACCTCATTTTTCATCCCCTTTCCAACTAGCCCTCGTACGTCATCCTACGTTAAGCCGTTTGGCATTTGCAACCTGGGGTTGCGATTTTAGAGGTTGCCATTTAGGGGTTGGTCTCGGATATAGGTACTACCTACTCCAGTCGTCACAGATGAAAATGCCACTGAACTTATGAAATTATACAAACAAGCTGAATTTGACTGATAATGTCAATTTTGGGACCTAACAAAGATGCAAAAAAGGTTTCCACTTCCGCCCCGGAGGTTCCCCAAAAAAACCCTTATAGAAAAAATGTTTTAAATAAAAAGTGTATCTGAGATCATTTTTAACAAAAATGTTTAATAGCACTTATTAAAATTAACCGTTTTCTCATAAAGAGACCGGAGATGTTGAATATTAGTTACTCACGCAAAATCAATTTTAAATAAAATTTATATTAACTCGATAGTACAAATTCGATATCTTTTGATTAGAGGGTCCTATCGACAAAAATCAAACTGCGTTTTAAAGGTGAAGAGTACAGTTTTTGTATAATTTTTTGTATTTTCCGCAAATAAAGTCAGTTTTTATAAAGGTGTTAAATAAATAAACGTTGCGCAATTTTTACCATTTTTACGATTCTTATCAATCATCATCAATCAAAATTACCATCAATAAAACGTATCACTTTCATTGACCAGTCATAATGTAATATCCATTGTAAGAGCCTATTCTTTAAAACCTATAGAATAAAATTTCGGTTTTAAGTTTTGGCAACACATGTGAAGTATTTGAAATATGCCTAAGCCGAATTTAAATTTTCACATTACAAATGATCTAAAAGGTCTAAAACTGCTTTTCGATTACACAAGTACGTTTGTCAAGATTATACAATTTTACTTTAAAACTCCACCCAATACCATCTTCACGGAGGTATTTCCCATAACCGCCTATCATTTGTAATGTGAAAGTTTAAAATCTAGTCGGTCAGATAGCCAAGCGGGCTGGGCAACCGGATTTCATTCGCTTCACTGCGAGTGGTTCATTGGATGTGGATTCGATACACAGCTCGGTGTACAGAAAACAAAAAGGCTGACGCACCGGTTTAAAATTCTAGATGAATCTGCGGCTTAGACTAGATTATGCTGGTGTCTGATCGGCCTATGGTGGAGCAGTAAGGCAAGAGATAAGGGCTTGCGGCTCGGTGATACTCCTCCATAGATCCCTACCGGAGGAACGTGCCGACTAAATACCGGTGTAAATATAAGTTTAAAATCTGCGTTTTTAGGCATATTTCAAATGCCTCATATTTGTTGCCAAAACTCAAAATCAAAATTTCATGGTATAGATTTTTAAAATTATAGGCTCTAATATTGGAAATTGATTAATTTTATTGATCCCATGAGAATAGCAAAAAATGGCGCAACGTTTATTTATTGAATAGATTGATAGAAACTGACTTCATTTACCTCTGACTGATTTCACTTGTAGCACAATACAAAAATTGCATGCAAAAGCTGCACACTTTAAGCTGCACACTCCTTTAAGATGCATTGTGATTTTTGTCGATACGACCCTCTGATTAAAAGATATCGAATTTTTACTGTCGAGTTAATACAAATTTTATTTAAATTTGATTTCGCGCCCCTCACTGACATTCAATATCGCCGGTCGCTTTATGCGTTGTTTCTCAAAGAACGGTTCATTCAAAACATAAAGTTTTATAAACAATTTTATTTAAAATTATCTCAGCTACATTTTTTATTTGAAATATTTTTTTCTGTCGCGTACAGACTCTTGAAAAATCGATTTTTTCCTTTGTTTTACCCCATTCGAGGTGGAGTGTTAGGGCGAAGTTAGAGAATAGGAGTGGTAACATTTTTTGTATATTTTTTGAGGTCCCAAAATTAACATTCTTAGCAAAGTTCAGTTTGTTCGTGTGATTTTTATAGTTCAAATCTATGACGACTGGATAACAGAATAATAAAACAATAATTGTTATTTATTCTGTGGCTGGATTATGAAAACAATTTTCCTTTAAGCCCGCAAGTCATTTTAAATGCAAAAACGGCCCAAATCTCTTGGGCAACTTTTGTATCAGCTGATTTGCAGTTTTGACATAAAGCTGATTGGGTAGGTTTCGAATTTTGTTCCGCAAAAAGTATGTGAAATAACGTTTCAATGTATCTATTCCGTCGCATTTTCTATGAAAACTTCAATTTGAGCTTTCATCCACCACTTCATGTGGACCCCAGGAAATTGGATCTTTCATTGCACATTACATAAAGAAATAATTTTGAAACGAGGAAATTGAGTATGTACAATGATCAATGTGGAATGCATACAGAAACTTTAAAATAGTTGCACTTAGTACTTACATTGTTGCAAGAAATTAATTTACAGTAGAAAGTATAGATAATAAATTCTTAGTCTCTGGAAGAACAAGAAACACTATAAAAAATCTATGTTCCTAGTGACTGGATGCAACTAGTGTCTGAAACACGAAAAAACGAACAAGTTTCTTGTGGTCGCAATGAAATCTACTGATTTTTTTCCATGCAAGGTTTGGAAAAGTCGTTAACGCATTGAAAAATAACTAAAACAGGAGAAAAAACAGAGTGGTTGCGAATACAGTGGCTACGAAGTGGAACTTGCCACATTCAATCAGCTATTTTTTGCAGGACCAAGGCCGATACAAGTAGCAAAATACAAAGATTTGCTAGCATTACTCGACTATATTCCTCCTGTTCATCACGAATTTTATAAATTACTTGTACTACATAGTGAACGTGTTGCGGAGGATCTAGACGCAATATCAGACGACGACCATTGAAAAATATTGTAAATAAAGTTTATTTGACTTAAATAAATTTAAATACTTTTATTTTTCTCTTTTTTTGTATCACAAGTCCCTATTGCTTTGATAAATTATAACAAAACCATAAATACAAAAACGGCCCAAACTACAATCAAATCCTTATTTTGTTCATCCCATGAAAAAAAGCAATATTACCATACCGAACATAAGTTTGCATACAAACATAAAAAATAAATTATACAATTTACTTTTACGGAACATAAATTTACAATAAAAAAAGTGCAAATTTTTTTTTCGGTTTTCTTCAAGTTCAATATTTTGGACTTGGGCCATTTTGGAGCTAGCTCAACGCCTCTTAAAAGCAGGATGACTTTTTTTAAACCCGTTGAATTCGCTGGTGCACTCCGCCTATGATAATTGGCGTTGCTGCAATGCTGCATGGGCCATGGCCATCGACTACTTAGAGAGTCGTTCTCACAGCCACAGCACAGCAACTTCAAACTTTCAAACTTCAAAAGTTGTGCTGAAAAGATTTAAAACCAGTTTAAAACATATGAATTTGATTTTAATTAATAATTTGAATTAAATAAGCTGTGTTCATTTCATTGTTATTCGTTGTGAACTTGTAAGTGTAAGGCTGCTTGCAGTGATTTAGGTGTTTAATTTTTTTAACTCGGTTTAGTTTTAGCTTTAACCTAATTAATTTAATAAAATCTTATCATAAAGCGAAATGAAGCCCATCTTGTACCATTTATCTCTAAGTGGACCTTCTAGAGGAGCATATTTAGCGGCTAAAGCAGCGGGTGTTGAGGTAGATATACAGATTATAGATATATCGAAAAGAGAACAATTCACAGAAGACTTTTTAAAGGTAGGCAGTGTATTATGTTATAATAGACAAACTTTACTTTACTAAAGAATATAGACGCATAACTAGTGTAGTAAGAAGAGAGTTTGTTTCTTTCCTCTTTAATTTTACCATCCTTCTAACAATTTTACATTTTTTTTACTTTCATTTTCTCTTTCTCAATCTGTGCAGAAAAGTCCATATGGTCTAAATACAAACAAAATACCTGTGTTTAAGATTCCCACGATCTTCCAATTATTTATCAACTACTTGTTATCAAGATCTCAATAGCATATTTGTAGGTAATTTTCAAGTAATGAACCAATAAAGAATTTTATGCCATACTAGCTAACTTCTGACCTAGTAAACTCAACTTTTTATTGTGAATGAATATATTTGTATGATATTTCAGCAGTACTTACTATCACAAATCAATTCATTAAGTTTCTGCCTTCCTAGAACCTACTCCTTAGCTGTAAGATCTTTATAATATTTATATCACACATTATAGTAAATTGTTTTATCAAACTTTCAGATCAACCCTCAACATACTGTACCTACTTTGGTTGATGGAGATTTTAGTGTGTGGGACAGTCATGCTATTGCAGGATATCTAGCAACAGTGTACTCAAAGGATGATAATTTATATCCCAAAGATCCAAAAAAGAGAGCTCTTGTAGATCAGAGATTATTTTTTGATTGTGGAACATTATATCCAAGAATCCGAGCTATATGTGTAAGTAGTTAAAATTGTGACTTTTATTGTATTTGTTTCACATATTTTACAATTTCATGTGGGAAACATACCTCCAAACTAAAACAGAATACAGTATAACCACTCTTAACACAAATACTTTTAAATAGAATACTATTTAACTAGAACAGTATATAAAAATTAAAGTTGTGTATTTTTCTTTATATCTTCTGCAGAAAAATGGTGAAATATTGAAACAAAAATACTTTGTGCAAATAGAAAACAGAATATTCTGAATTATTTCTTAAAAAATAGTATATTGTAAACATATAAGTAATATTGAACAAATCCACATATTTATTGAAAAAGTAGTAATTATATATTAATAATATATAATAAAATAATTACATCTTTATTTAGGAAGTCTTTAATATTTTTGTGGGAAGTACTCTTATTAAAATTCCAAAAATTATAAAGCCAATATAGAAATTATCAGTTAATAAATAGAGAGTGGATACTATGCTGTGCAATAATTATTAGCCTGCTCCAATTTTATTAACACATTCACAACAGCATTAAATTTGTCAGTAACATTGACTGATGTTACCAAATCCCTGTATCTGATAACACTGTCTACTGTTTGGATGATACCATACCTATGGGTCCAGTAAACATATCTATAAATAAATGGTTTCTGTGATTCCTATTTGAAATTACCTTGAATCTAACACTGCCATTTCCTAGTAAACATTTTAATCTGCTTCTGGCAGCAATAGCACCAGATTCTGATGTCTGATAAAGTATTTACAGTATATAAAAAAATATACTGATACTAATGTCGCAATTTGGAATATTTTATTTTTAAAAGTAAATAAAATTATTTATTTTTATTTGAAGTAATATTAAAGTGTACAAAAATATATAATACTTAATTAAAATAGTAATTAATAATTAGATATGTCTATCATTAAAACAAGTTAAGCACAAAGCCAAGCACAAGTTGTAATACCAACTGTTTAGGAAACATTAGCATTAGTTTTTTTTTCAATGTTTGTTTTATTATAGACAATCCAGCTGTTGATTATTTTAGCACCAAAAATTAGTTCGAAAACTACCTTACAATACCACTTAGGAGCTTTTTGTAAGGAAGATTAATACGCTGAAATTTGGTCACTGTAATCTATACCATTTTTAGATTTGTTGTAGTTTTGGATAACTTGCGGTTTAAAAATATATTTCACTGGTTCCTCCCTTGTTTTTGATCTCTTTTTCTTGACTGTATTGCAGAAGTTTAGGGTATACTCAGGTTTACTGGATCACATTAATACTGCTCTCTTGTGTTGCCAACTGATTACATTTATATTGTCCTTATTTTGATGCCAATTATTTCATTTTTCTTTAGTTTCTTTGGAAATATTCCCTTTTAAATACCTTTCTGATTGCTTTTACAAGTCCCACAATAAAAAGTTTGGCGATGTAATAGATCTTTTGCAAGAGGAATGCCCAAATAAAAGTTATCAGCATATAAAGTTCACCGGGCATCTAACAGGCTATTCATTAAGGTCACCACAACTTTCTGAGAATGGCTTTTGTTTATCATATTAGTTTCTTTTCCACAATAAACCATTACTTTATAGGTATATCCGCTGACGGTACATAGTTTATATAATTTAACACCATTGTTTTTTATGTAGTGCTGTATACTCAAATAACCATGCCATGGTACCATACTTTCATCTTTGACTACATTCCTTCCTCGAGTCATGATTTTCATGACTCTGTCATTAAGTAAATCTAAAACATGTCATCATTTTTTTTTCTAGTACACCATTGGTATTTTAAACATGTAGGTATCATAAAATAATAAAAATCTATCTCTAGTCATATTATCTCTCCTATAAATGAGGAGATAAACTTATTATAAAGGTCATTGTTGAATCAATATAATCGAATATTAGGGACCTTAAAGAATCCCTTGCAGGTCAGGATACTAAAGAATTTTTTAATTTCTTTATTAGTCCAAATTTATGGATTCGCCCTTGTCAAAATTTTCGCTATCTTCACTAGGAGTGTATTCAGAATCTCCATCAGACAAGTTTTCAAATGGATCACTATCAGATTCACTTTTAGTTTGTGTCCAATTACTTTGGTGCTTGGTCAGCACTAGTTTAACCATTTTTTCGCCTCTAGACGACATTTTTATAGATTTTAATAAAAAAACAACACACATGTACAATGTTTACTATAAAACTAATAACCAGATACGGAGGTCCGGTAAATCCTATAGCGTAAACAATTTCTTTGTGGGATGTTACCAGGTGCTGGAATCTGGTAACTTAAAACAGAACTAAAATATAAAGCACATCACGACGATTCCGTAGGTAAACTTCATTCACAATTATAAGAACTGACTTATGCAGGATTTAAAAGTATCCCGCTGATAAAGTCGACACCATAAAGAAATTTGCCTCTTCAGGTAAATAGTAAAAAGGGCCGGCTTAACGAATTTTATATTTAATTTGGAATTTACATTACATATTTAATTGAAATTAATACCTAAGTAATTAAGGGAAAAAATACATAAATTGATAATTTATTCTATACAGGTACTGTTATATTTTTATTAGTTCTAATTTATTGTCTTTATTCTCATTTATTGTCTTTATTCTAATTTATTAAAACTCACGATAATTTATCAAAAGTAAAATCCACAAGGAAAACAATTCCTGTAGCTGGCTGTATACCATGTATCACAAAAAAGAGATTAGTCTTCGTAAATGGGTATATTTATTTAAAAAACCTTAAAAGGGCTACATCAAACAAACAAACGTTTTCGGACTAAACAGTCCATCATCAGGTTTAAATTTTAAAATTGCTAGGTTATAATGCCTGAGCCACCAAGATACCTGGGTAAAAACCCTTTAAATTACATATAGTTGTAAAAGATTATACATTATGTTGTAAAAAAACTGTGATGTTCAGTATTAAATTAAATATGACTTCAGGTAACATACATGGCTGAAGTGAGTTCCAGAGCCGGAGAGTAAACCTCTTCACATGGAGTTAACAGCTGTTCTCCATGTGAAGAGGTTTACTTTCCGGCTCTGGAGACCGTCTAGTTTAACAACAATTAAACTAAATATTAACTAAGAACAACTAACTAACAACAACTTGGCAAAACTTAAATTGACTGAACTAAGCAGAAACAAAAACTAAATATTCAGGTATAAACGCGTTTGCAAACTAAAAACAACTAGAGAATTGACAAAAGTAAACTTTTTTGAAAAATAACCAAAGACAGACGTTAGAATTTTTATTAATTAAGTGCCAAACTAGAATTTTAGTATTTATTTAATTTATTCGTTAAAATAATCTTAAATCCAAATAAAATTAGTACGATTGAATACATATATTAGCATAATGGTAGTTTCGCATTTAATTAATAAATATTCTAACGTTCGCCTTTAATTACTTGCCAAAAAAGTTGATGTTGACGTAAAAACAATTAGAGAATTGAAAAGCGTCAACTTTTTGACAAGTAACCAGAGGCAGAGGTTTTAATATTTATTAATTCAATGCGAGACTACAATTTTAGTATTTATTTAATGTATTCATCAAAATAAGCTTAAACTCAAATAAAATTATTATGACTGAATAGTTATTTTCAATACCTTTCAAGCGAGGTATTACTTGCCATAAGGTTCCATTTAAAATTATCTGTCACAGTGGCGCTGTAACGCCATCTTTCACTATTACGTCACCTGTTATGACTAGTTGAGAAGCATACGTCTGTTTATTACCTCCCTTTAAATTTTACTATTATAACAGTAACCGTTCAAAAGATACGAGAGGGAAACGGACTTTTGACTAGCACTGTATAGGGTAATATTTTAGTAATATTCAAAATAACTTGTTCCTTTTGAAATTCTGGAAATTGTTTAAAAGGTTTGTATTGTTTAAAGTGTATAGCACTAGCTGAAAAAAAAAACAAATTACATTTTGCAAGAAACCTTACATTTTTTTAAAACTATGGTTCACTTTGCGAAACTTTTAATCCATAATCAATTTTTTTAATTAAAAATTATGTAAAAAATTTGGAAAAAAATAAACATGCCATTGTAATTGCTGGCTTATTTATCTAATTTGTAAAATCCTTATTAAAGATTAGCAATAAAAATCAACCGTATTGTTTCAAAAATAAAATATGATTGAAATGTTAAATGCTAACAGTTCAGATTTCTCTCCTAGGTGGTGTCATTACCCTACTGGACAAACGGTGACTTGTCATCATAGCCTTTTATATAGATAGATAATATATTCTGAAATCCATATTTATGAAATTATTCAGCTAAACTCATAATACAACATAAAATATTAGTTTTAACGAGGTATATTTATTGCAGTATCCAATTTTACGTGAAGGTGCAGACCAAATTTATGATGAACATAAAGGTCCTTTAGAAGAAGCTTTAGGATTTTTGGATGTGTTTCTCGAGGGCAACGACTTTGTAACAGGGAAACATCTAACAATTGCTGATTGTTCCCTAGTATCTTCAGTATCCAGTATAGTGGTAGGTACCAATTTATTATTTAACGTTTTGTTTAAATTTTGCTGTAAATGTGTTCGATTTTAAATTAAAATTTTTTTGTACGTTCGTCCAAAAAATACAACTTAAACTATATTTTAGTGAAAGACTGGTACCCGTGGAGTAAAATTTTTCTTGAATACATTTTTCATTCTACTGCAGCGTTTTATAATATTTACTACCTATTATATTATGAAATTACTTGAAAATGCATACAAAATACTCGAAAATAGGTACCCAAAAATACGTGTCTCAAATATACTTGCTCACAACCACTATGAATGATGACTATTATCTTTTTACCTTCTGGATTTTTCCGTTCTCTCTCTGTTTCCTTCGGGTGTTAGTTACAGTATCGTTCCCGTAATATGTAATATTCTAAGTATGTAGTCTATTTATTTTATATATATATATATATATATATATATATATATATATATATATATATATATATATTTAAATATATATATTCAAAAACTTTTGTATCTTCGAGATACAAGAGTAAATAGATAACGTATAATCTTATAGTTTTTTGATTATTTTCCTGAAGATGAAATCCAATCTTAGATCAATCAGACTCTTACAAAATTTCAAGAAAATGTTTCTGGCTTGTTCTACTTTGCGATCTAATGTCTCGCAGTCGCGCAAGATATGGTTGCCTGTTTCAGATTCTCTGATAGATAGTCTGCAGCTTCAATCTCCATGAAACAGTTCCATTGTATGTAAGTGTCCCTTGACTGGCCCGTTGCCAGTAAGGAAGTTGGTCATGACGCTGAGCTCATCACTGTTGGTTTTCCGCAGTGCTTCAGTCCTATTAGCGAACGTCCGTCCAATATACATATTGCCATGTGATTCATCGGGTATATCTTCCCAGTAAGAATTATGATGTGTTCAGGGCTTTTTCCGGTCGCAAACGGTGTTTTTTTGCACTTATACTGACGGTTCTGGGTGAAAGTATTTTGTGGTTGATCCTCTTCTGATAAGTTGCCATATATTCCCAGAACTTATAACCCACATTAGTGTGACACTATTATGTTCCGCCACTCTTGAGATCTCGGTATTCCAACACTAGCCTAGAGTCCAGATTAGAGCTGCGAAGAACACCTATGCCTACTTCTCGTGGGCAGACGTCTACTTGGAAACATACTTTAGGTCTGTATCTAGATACTATATGGCCATAAGCCATCTTTTAGTCGGTATCCAGTCCATGTTACTATGATGGAGAACATTAAGGACTGGGTAAGAAATAGAAGAGTAGAATGGAATGATCACATAAGCCAAATGACATCAAATAGAGTAGTAAAAACGACAAGAGACAGTTCCAAAATAGGAACATGATCAGTAGGAAGACCACGTATGTATGTACAGCGTTAACAGGCCTTTTAGGCCCATTGCTGGATGGATAATTTCCATCGTTTTCTATTCTCAGCTAACAGCTTCCAATCTCTGATTCCCATCTCTCTGACATCTTCCATCACTACATCTCTCCATTTCTTTCTTGGTCTTCCTCTCTTTTTTTCCCTCAGGTACTCTCCAAGCAATATTCTTGACTAGTATATCACCTTGCATTCTTTCTAGATGACAGCAATTCTAGTCTACGTTTTTTCATCACTCTTGTTATTGTAGGGTTAGCATACAAATGGTACACTTCTGCATTAGTTCGTCTTCTCCATTCTCCCTCTACTAATTTTCCACCAAATATTCTGCGAAGTATCTTTCTTTCCCATGCTTCCAGTGTATTCTGTATGGTTTTGTTCATCGTCCATGTCTCGGCAGCGTATAGCATTGTGGGTCTAATTATAGTTTTGTATACTCTTATTTTTGTATTGCGAGATATATCTTTGGCCTTAATTATTTTGCTCATGGCTCCAGCACACCTGTTGCTCTTGGTCAGTCTCAGGTTGATTTCAGTTTCTTCCTTACATGTCTGATCAATAAGAGTACCTAAGTACATATATTCATCCACCTTCTCGAATTCTACAACTAATCCATCCTCTATCTCCAATTTAAAGGATCCCCTGGTGTTTATTTCTTTTTTGCTCGAGATCTCCATGTACTTCGATTTATTAATATTCTTAGTCCCATTTCTTTCAGTCCCATTTTAGAGCTTTCCCAAATCAATCTTTTTGTTATATCTGATAGTTGTTTTCCATTTCTTGCAACGAAAACCACATCATCAGCGTATGCTAAGTATTGGTGCTCCTTGTATAAAATAGTTCCGGACCTATTTATCCCACTAACCTTTACAATTTTTTCTAGAACTATATTGAATAGCAATGTATACAACGGGTCTCCTTGGCGAACAACTTTTTTCACTTCAAATTCTTTGAGACTGTACCGTTGCATCTCACAGCACAAATGGTTTGTCTAATTGTCATTTTTACCAATCTTATTATTTTTTTGGCACTTGGAATTCTTTTAGTGTTTCTATTAACTTGTTTCTGTCTATTGTATCGTAGGCAGCTTTGTAATCAATGAAAAGTACTTGTGCTGAAATGTTGTATTCATAGCAATTGATCAGGATTTGTTTTAGTATAAAAATTTGATCGGTTGTTGATCTTCCTTTCCGAAATCCTCCCTGGTATTCTCCTAGATTCTTCACTATACAGTGCTTTTCAGATAAAACTATCCACCTTAAATAACAACTTTTTAACCTCTAATTTTTTGGAAAAACGCAAAAACACGTCAATTAATATTTGAAGGGGGAGACATTACATCATATTTAAGGTTGCTGGGAAATGCACCCTTTCACCCCCTGTATCAACCCTTTATTTTTTTTAAATTACTTCTGTTCACGCCTCTATCTAATTTAAGTTTTTTATGCATTTTACAATCCGGCAACATAGTAGCGTAGGAAGATATATTATGCCATATGTGAAGATAAGGCGAGCCCCTAAAGGCACTCCAGGGACAACATCATTCAAATATGAGAAGTCGAGGCCGGTGGACACCAGCGAGCGAAACAATACTTATTAGCGTTTTACTTATGTATTGTTAATTCAATAAAGTCAGTTTTTTCACACGGAGTTTGATTATTTACCAGCGGCACACGCGAAGTGCATATCAAGTTTCATCCAACTTCCCCTTTTTTTATTTTATATTTAGATTCTCCTTTTTGTGTTGATTTCAAAAATGTATAATACCTTTGGCTTGAAGTGATTAGTTTATGAGATAGACAATTTTCCTGTTAACAAGGATACTATCTCTCTCACCTTAAATGACTGTAACACAATAGGTTTTAGCATAATTTAAACTTTTTAAATACTTAACCTTACTATTTGTAGTACCTTCAAAAACCAAGAAATAAAAAAATTCACTTTTTATTAAAGTTTTATCAAAAGTTAAGGATAACCTTTCCGAAGATTTGGTTGTATTTCAACATGATAGAGCTTCTCCACACTTTGCTTTACCTGTGCGATAATTTTTAAACGAAACGTTTCTTGGTCCTTGGATAAGGTAAAGAAGATAGATGATCGATTAACCACCAAGGTCACCGGATTGAACACCCCTAGACTTCTTCTTTAAAGGGTATTTAAAAACAAAAATTTATGCTATTCAACCAGAATCTCTAGATGATATACGACAAAGAATAGAGGATAAATGTCGACAATTAAATGCAGACGTGTTAAGCAATGTCAGAGAAAAATTTCAAAATAGATTATACTATTGTATGGAAGTGAAGGTCAGTCATTTTGATCAATTATTGTAAAAAATTTTAGTACTGAAATGTTCATTCTAAATGTGTGTAATAAATTGTTAAAAAATAATTTTTTTTCTATCCAATTTTCTTGCTTTTGTATTTATTTTTCTCATACACTAATCACTTCAAGCATCATATATTATACATTTCTGAAATCAGGACAAAGAGGAGAATCCAAATATCGAATAAAAAAAGGGGGAAGTAATTTAAAAAAAAATAAAGGGATGATACGAGGGGTGAAAGGGTGCATTTCCCAGCAACCTTAAATATGGTATAATGTCTCCCCTTCAAATATTAATTGACGTGTTTTTGCGTTTAGTCCTAAAATTTAGAAGTTCAAAAGTTATTTAAGGTGGATAGTTTTATCTGAAAAGCACTGTATATATTTCTAATCGTTTTTTAATTAGTATAGCGAGTACTTTATAAATTACTCATATTACAGTTCTATCTCCCTTTTTGTGTATAGGAATTATAATCGACTTATTCCATTCTTGACGCATTTCTTCGGCATCCCATACTTCTAGTATTAGCTCACCAAGTTTGTTTATTAAGGCATCTCCTCCATATTTTATGTTCTCTGCCACAATGCCGCTCTCCCCGGGGCTTTTTTGATCTTTCATATCTTTTATTATTTCTTCAATTTCTTCTCTTGTGGGCTTTGGTATTTCTTCTATTACTATTTGAGGTTTAGGAACATAACAATTTTCTTCAGTAGTCACTTCTTCATTTAGCATCTCTTCGAAATATTCGTTCCACCTTTCACATATTTGGTCTTCGTCCACTATCAGGTTTCCTTGCTCATCTTTTACATTTATCGTTTTTCCCTGGTACCCAGTTTTAATGTATTTTACTTCTTTATAAAATTTTTTTATTTCATTTTTCTTGTAATTTTCTCTGCACGTTTTTACATGTGTTATTAAATTGGCAAACTTCTCTTGTATTAAGATGTGGTCTATTTGATTAGTTCCATTTGATCCAGGAATTTTCCACGTTCCTTTATATATATTTTTTCTCCTAAAATGGGTACTCGTTATCTTCATCCTGTTTTCAAGTGCGAATGTTATTAATCTTTGTCCGTTATCATTTGTATTCAAATGTTTACTTTCACCCCCTGTTATGTTTTTATATATATCTTCTCTGCCGACCTTTGCATTGGCGTCGCCTATAATAATTTTAGTATCTTCTCTGGGCATTTCTTCACACAATGACTCTAATTCTTCATAAAATTCTTCTTTCACTTCTTCTTCTTTTTCTTCTGTTGGAGCATGTATATTTATCAACGATA